CCTCCCCTTCTTTTCTCTATCTCACCACCCCCTTTGAATTTTCCATTTTAGCTCTAAGGAAAAAACCCCAACAGCTATGGGCTGCTTTTAATATAGCAATAGCAAATTTGAACCAGAGATCATCAGTATTTGAGTTAGAGGTAATCCATGTTTGAATTATCAACTGCAACACTTTAGCGGAAGCTTAGAGAGGCCTCAGCAGACACACATGACCTGCCCTTGTCCAGGTGGCTGGGCTAGAGACCCTGCCATGGGCTGTGGTTGTAGGAAAGCTGCTTCCCATAGAGGCCAAACGCCCCCAATCCCGCCCCTGCTCCCACTAGGCACTACAGCCACCTGCAAGCCCCATCCCTATCCTCTTCCAAGCCCCTCTCCAAGCTCACTTTTAGCCTCTGAAAAAAACCATATCTATGTAGGCAGGTGAAAAATATCCCGAGGCTGTTCTTCTGGTTTAAAATGTTTATGCAAGCATGGTTTTGAAACACAATTTACAAGTATTTGTTCTTCAGAGTGCAGTATAGAGAATGCAAACACAGACAGGGACAGGTCTCTCTTTGGAGGCTGTGGAAGGTTCAGGGGACAGAGAGGATGCCATCCTGTCTTCTCATTGCCCAAGATGCCTGTAACTAGAAAATTAACAATGGTAACAATGATAACCTCTGTGGCCACAGAGCCTACAGTAGCAGACTGGAAAAGAATCCTAGAGCACCCTGTTAGGCTTTCCCGACACTGCCCAGAAAATGGGCTTAGAGAGACAGAATTTAGCCTGGGACAGGATATACAGAGACCAGAGATCGCAACTGACGTTTTCCTGTGGGCAAATTACCTCCAGGAGCTGAAGGCCTTCACTTTCCTGACAAGCACAGCACTCACACTCACACGTTCACACACACGCACACACAGCTCACAAGCACACAGGTGCACCCACACACACACATGCATAGCCTACGCGGGCCTGACCTCAGAAGTCCCTCTCGCTGTCCCCTAACAGTGACCAGTGATCCACTTCATTCCACCTGCCCCTCAGTCCTTACTGTCATAACTAGACTTTGGCAGAATTCTCGAAGAATGGCTTTTATTTAGATTTTTGATTTTTTTTTTTGGTGGAACCAGAGATTGAACTCAGGCCCTTGCACTTGCCAGGGAAGTGCTTCTTCCACTGAGCCATCTCCCCGGCCCCACTAGATTTTTTTTTAAGAAAAAAAATCTCAATATTTTATTTTATAGTTAGAACCAAAACCTACTATAAGAACATACAATTAATAAAACATAAAATACATTAAATGGATAAATAAGAGTGATGTTTGTCTACATTGTAAAGTGACTTCAGTCCATACAGTGATTTAAATTTGAACTACTCAGCCAATTTCCCATTTGAACTTTAAACTTTGGTTTAATGTGTTACCATACTTCGGGGCATGGCTGGTCACAGAGGGGTACATTGCATTGTTCGCTGGAGCACCATGGAACCAGGTCACCAGAAAGCCCCTGCTCCGTGTGCTCAGGGACCAGGAATGGCAACATATGCCATTGTAGCCTTGATTTAGCGAAGTCATTGTTCCTATTGCAGGTGTTCCAGCTGAACCTTCGACAACTCTTGCTCCAAAAGGTCCCTGAATAGGAAGGTTCATAGCTGTCATCATCTGACCTTAAGTTGGTGAAGGTGGCCAGGTCATGTCACAGTCCAGGAGATACACTGTCCAGAAGTGCGGAGCCACACACAGGGGAGTTAGAGGCTGCCTACTCAGGAATAAAACTGGGCTGAGCTACCCGTAAGATCTGATCCCACATGACCTTCCTTTCGCCCTTTAGGGAGCTGTCACCCACTGTTTTTACTCCTCTAGCCCTGTGCCCTTTCAGCCATCCCTAACAGCCCTCGCAAAGAGAAGTCACTTTCACTGACTGCACCTCTTGCTCTCAGTTCTCCCTTGGTCCCCTTCTATAAGGGTCCAGGACCTATTCCTGGTGAGAAGACAAGAACAATGACCCGCCCTCTGGCAGCCACTGCTTGACCGTTGGGCTCCTTGCAAAGCCACTATTCCAAATAGCTAAGGCTTTTAAATCTAGGTTATGTCCCTTTCTGGAGCTCTGATCTTTTATAATGCAGAACAAACACTCACTGGAATCCTATAAGTTCCTTCCAATCTTTTGGATCCACTCAGGGTCCAGAATGCCATGGAATAATTCCAGGCCTGAGAAGGGGAGGACTAGTCCATGCCTAGAATGCTCTTTGGTTTTGCAACAGCAAGTGCTTTGGTCTGCTTATTTGCTTTTCCTTTCTAGTATCAAGTACTAACAAGTTTTACAAATTAATGACCTCTTCACTAGAAAGGTTTTGGAAACTGGTTTGATCTACAAGAAAACGAAAAAGAAACAAGAGCAAAA